GACTATGTAGAAGCTGAAAAAACATTGTATAGCCTTGCCCTGCCGATGTCTATCCGTGATCCGCCAAAAGAGTACTGTTAGGACACCCCGAAGTAGAAAAAGGCAACCCAAAGCGCACCATTGCAAAGACAAACTTTGGCCAACCTTTCGTCCTTGATTTCTGCCGGCAGGCATTGAATTGCAGTTACAGAAGTAGGCGCAGCTAAGCAACCCTGCCATTTCCGGTCCTCCTCCTCATCCTCCTTTTCCTCGTCTTCTTTCTTATCTGGCGAATACGGCACCTGAGCATTTCTGAAGCGTGCCTCTGCAGTGCTCGACTGTAAGGGTTAGGGTTGCGCCCCAACTGCAGCTGGCAAGACAGTCCGTTTGGGTCTCCCAGGGTGTCCTCTTGATCTGAGCCATCCGCACTGACGATTGCCTGTCATGGATGTCTAAGAACTACAGCCATCGAATGAGCCACCAAGCATCCCCCTTAACAAGCCCCCTGCAAGGAGTTCAGACTCTAGCTCTAATAATCCCCAAGTCGTTTTCTACAGTTCGAACACAGGATACCTAATTCAGCTGCCATGGCGCCATTTGTTCCCAGTTTGTGCTCCTTTCCTCTTTTCCGCAGCATGAAATCGCACTCTAGTACGTGAGGTTTCTGCTCTGAGCGCCTGTCCTTCTCTTCCAGGCAGTCGTTTCAAACAATTGCATGCATATGAGATCCTAGCTTTGAGAAATCACCTCCAAGCCCGAAAAGCGCGAAGCCGCAACACAAACTGCGTTTAGGTAGGAACTGCTCAAGAAATACGTTTGTTGATGGTCCCTCTGTAGTTTGGAAAGTAGTATTTGGGAAATATCCCGGATATACAGATGTATGACAAAATTCTAGTTTCATACGCATTCAACACACAGTTTATTGAGCTTGGAGCGTGATGACCGGTGACCTCTCCATCGTCACCTGTTGCTTGAGGCTTCGGCAAGGCAATTTCGAAAGTCGTGATGCACATGAATTGCATTTCTCGAGTTGAAGGGGCTGCTTCAGGGGAAGTGGCATGGTTTATTTTCTTCGAAATCATGACCTGTCAATGACGATAAAACATTGGCAACATACATGTGCAAGAAAGCGCCTATAATTCCAAGTCGTTTGCAAGATCGTAGTGATTCGAATAGACCATTTACGCAGAAATCTTCCCAGCCACTGAGGCCGCGACCTTATGTTACATCAGATGCTGTGCACCAAGCAGCGGTGACTTGTGTTCTCTTAGTGCTGCAATCTGCCCGCTTTCCGCCATCCATTTGCGGCTGGTGCTATTGGTAAGCTAATATGACATTCTTATCATCGCTTAACTCACACCAGAGCAGTGTTAACCCTGGCCATGACTAGCCCCAGGCGGCCTAGCGCCTACAAAATGTCAAGCCAATGAACTTGTGTTCGGGCCCCGGATACCTCTGCTGAACGCAGATGTATCTAATTCCGCGATCTCATCAAGTCTGGGCACGCAGCACACTGCACAAAACCCACCCCAGAAAACATGAGGGAACGGAACAGAATTCGAACACAACACTTCGCAGACAACGATGATTTTGCAAAGTGCGGCAATCATTCACGTCTCATGCCAAGGGATTCTACAAATCTACGGACAGCTCATTCCTGAGCGCCACACAAGGACGCGGGCAGCCTGGTTGGCCGTGCACGTAGAGCACCAAAGCAATATCCTGTTCGGGTCAGCTTGCGGCTTGCTGTCTTGTAATGTTAGCGGATACTCTTCAAACCACCGCCACCGCCACTTCCGCCGCCGCCGCCACGACCACCACGACCACGACCACGACCCCGACCGCGACCACGACCGCGACCGCGACCGCCACCGCCACCGCCACCGCCACCACCACCGCCACCACCACCACCACCACCACCACCACCGCCAGCGCCACCACCACCAC